GCGTGCACGGCAAAGCCCCGCTCCTGTCATCCCCGGCGGCCGCGGTCTTGGAGCCGCTTCAGCATCGCAGGCGTCTCCTTCTCCACGGAGGCGAAGCCGCTGGACACCTGGCAGTGCTGCATCACTCATCTGCCCGTGCTGACCTCCTTCCCCCGACCCCGCATCACAGCGCGGTGTACAAAGAAAACTTGAATCGCATCCTGTGGCATTAGCCCTTAGCTGAGATGGTAAGTATGAAAAGAATCAATGGGAAAAGAAATGATTTTTTTCAGCAGCGAGTTTATTGTCTTTGGGTCTGACATTCATGAATGGATATGTATTTATGAACAATACCACGTGGTCTAAACAGCCTTGAGTATATTTGGAAGCCTGAAGAACCACCGGACAAGGTCTAATGAGAACAGACACTGCGTGAAAAATTATGGGTGAAACCATGCTTCCTTTAATGTCCATGGCAAAACTCCAGCCGTTCAGTAACACTGGGATTTCACCCCAGCACTCTCTTTTCAACTTCACGTTTTCAAGTGATGTGGAATACACTAACAGAGAGAAAACAATTGCCTTTTCTAGTCAGTATTTATTCTGAGATTTCTGCTATAAGCCCAACCTAATTATAAGAAAAGAGAGTGCATAGCAGTGCAAAGCACAAGGAGACCTCTGTGTTGCATAGTTTGTGTTTCTGTTTGACCTGAACATGCTTGATGCAGAAAATAAATGCAAATCCTATATTGCACAAAGCCTATCTGAATACTCAATAAATCCTGGGGGGGGGGGTTCAGCTTAGTCAGTCAAACTTTTCACAGCTTCAGACCACTGAAGGGGCACATCCAAAACTGCTCTGTTGCTCTCTCCTCCTGAACGAGAGAGTGTCAACCCAGACCTCTGAGCAGAGACAGCTTCACTGTAACACCAGGAGGTATTTCCTCAGCCCTCTAGAAAATATGTCGGCTATAAATGAAAGCCAGTAAAGGTAAAGTTTTATGGAGAAGTCAGCTGGCAGCCAATACAGGAGTCAGCACCTAGGTGCGCTGGCCTCCCAGAAAGCACCGTTGCCTAATAAGCAGGTATGTCTTGCACGAGCAGCAATTTCAGGATGGGTTTTGGGAACGGGTCCAGGATAAGTGCTTGATAGCAATCTGACTCATGCTACCTCTCAGTATCTTTGAGGGGTACCCAGGTGCCCTTGAGGGAGTTGAAAGCAGGCAAATACTCAAATGGTTGAGTGGCCCAGGTGACATCCACATCCCTTTGCTGCACTTATTAGTATAAAGAATACATTCAAGAGCCCCTAACACTGCACGTACGGGCAACAAGACCCCAGGCTGCAGCCTGCATAGTAAATGGAAAGTATACTTCCTCAGTTGTGGTGCTTGCATAACGCTGGTGTTTCTTCACCATTCCTGGAATCATCATTTTGAGCTTACACAGTCTCAGCCAAATCATTCTCATCCATTCCCCCATCTCTCTTAGACAATGCATGGCAAACTGCACTAAATTTTTAGAGAAAATGAAGACACAGAACTGAAACACCAAAATGCTAAGTCTGGATCTCCTTACCAGCCTGGCTTATCGCACAGTCACGGTGAATAGGGTAGCTGGGGGATTGGAACGTGATAAAACCTCACAAGAGCCCCATGGCCTATACTGCTGTAAGAAATTGCCCTGAGGGGGATAGAACTGTAAATGCTCAGGCTGTTTCATCTGCAAAGAGTATTTCTTGTACTAGCTTTTCACCCTTTTCAAATGCTGTTTTCATGCAAGCGTCCACAGTGATGCAATGGAACGATAAGGAGAATATACCCATTGAGAATTCCTTTGAATGGATTTTTTTCTGAATCTTTTCTGAATTTCTGTCACTTCCTAAGAATGTATCAGAGCCTATGCTGATGTAAACTGATTTAGCTCTATAGTAGAATTCAGCTCAGCTTTATTTTGGCAAAACAATACCTTCACAGGAATCACATCGTTCATTCAGATAGATTAACAATCTTTTATGCGTAATATTCCAGGAATCACATCGTTCATTCAGATAGATTAACAATCTGTTATGTGTAATATTCAGTATTCCATTTTCAGCAGTACAAACATAAAAACTGTGTTAAAATAATTACCTACCTGTGACAAATACTATTTTAAATGTCTTTATTTAAAGATGCTAGATCTAATAGTTTTCCTCTAATTTCTTTCATAAGGTAGTAAAATAAACAAGCATTAAATGTTAAAAGGAAACTTATTACCTTAGTGGTCTTTAAAATGTATTTTTATGTCTCTGTTTACTTTAAAGTTGTTGGGAAATGGAAAACAGTTCAGAAAGATCTTCTCTGGGTTTTCACAAAAAAATTAATTTCTAAGGATTGTTTGTGACTAGTTCAAACTTCTGCACTGAACTGCTACCTCAGTATTGCAAATGAATTCTAGGCAGTCAATTTTTTTTTTCCTTTTCAGAATGAAGATTTTACTTTGTAGGACTTCTGTAAGACCTCTTTATATGAGGCTGAGCACTCGCTGAGAGGAAGAAACATAGCTAGTTTACCTGTAGAAATAAGGCCTTATGCCGAATATTCAGGCCATTAATGGAGAAAGATCTAAAAGAGAGAAGAAGAAAGAGAGAAAGAAGAAGATCTAATAAACTATGGGAAGTCTATGAATAAACAAATTGTAGTGAAAAGCCATAGCTGACCAAGCAGCTAGTTGAAAGAAGGTAAATATTTCTGGAGGCAATTTTGGGGGTGTACTAACTTTTACAAATGAGACCATGGAGTGGGACCATGAAGTAGAGTGATAAAATCCTTAATGTTAATTACCAGCAGTGAGGGTCTTAATGAGAGCAGCAAAAGACCTATTTGGTCTATGGAACCAGACAGTAAGTATTGTTAATCTGGCTAAAATCAGGAAATTTTGAAAAGAGAAATCTGTCCATCTGAATTATCAACACATCTCTTAAGTTTAATCTCTAAATTTACCCAATATTATTTTTTTCATCAGTTGTGCTGCCACTCTGTATTCTACTTACGCTCCAGCATCTCTCTGCCCAAATTGTCTTGTTCATCCTGTTAGATAACCTGCACTGTCTCATTTTGACATCGAATCATGCACCACTATATAGTGGCCACACATCTCAGTTCTCCCTCACTGGTGTAAGTAGCAGAAGGTAATACCAGAAGGGACATAACATAAACCCATATTTGAGTCAGAATGATTTACTGTTGTCACCAGTGATGAGAATACCATTTTTACAATTTGTGAATCAGATCATTACAATTTTGCTATCCAAGATTATGTAATGCAGATAATGTTTATGTTTTACAGCTAAGTATGAAGGAAACAAATTACATATTTCTAATGTGCCAACAATGGATAGGCAATTCAATGGCTGCAGATATAATTTTTCTGAATGTCAATATCTATTCCATTCCAAATATTTTTTTCATCCTATTTTTTTCTTTTTACGAGAGCACTGGTACTAATTTCCTCCCAATTTAAAGGCTCCTGATTGTGTGCTTGCTTCCTTCATAACATTTTTCGTGAATACAGTCTTTCGGTAAAGGCAGACAATATATAAAATCAGAATGAGAAAGAGTGATGCATATTAGGTCATCTGCTGAAGTCATCTGATGAAGACACGTGCTATTTTCAGTACCCGTACTGGTCCTCATCCTGGAATGGTGTTGAGTGACGCAAGTGATGGGAGAACCATCGTGAGTGTGGGAGTGATTATTCGCTTGGGAGAACACCCAAGTATGGTCCTCTATATGGAAAGCTCTCTCATTCTTCTCTTAAATCGTCTCATCTTATTATATTATGCTATTACAGCTTGTGATACCTTATTAATCACCCTAAATACTTTCTTTCCTTCTTTGTGTGGAGGTAACTGAGTGAAATTTTACTGATGCTTATGGTAGTCTTTAGTTAACTTTTTATGTGGCTTACCAGCAGCAAAACAATGGCACCAGGCCTGAGGCTGGAACTCACTGTTGACGATGAGATGCAATGTTTAAAAACAGATTTGGCGGCACTAGGTAATGAAAAGTGTTGCCATCACTAGTTTATGGGCTTTTTCTTAATAACGGTAGCACCTGAACTATTTAAAGATGGTCAAAAAGTACATCAGCGGAACCCTTTTTTTCTGAAAAGGCAGCTCTTTGAGGTGAATGCTTTTTGAAATCACATGAATTCCATGAAAATGTTTTAAGGCAGAAAAATGTTCCGGCAGTTTCAAAGCATCCAGTTTTTATATTTTTAGAGCAAAATGTTTCCATTTCTAAATCATTGTAGTTTCAATTTAAGGTGTCAGGGTTAGAATATAGTTTAACATAAACGAAACGGTAACATAATTAACGATTTCGATCATCCCCTTTTTCTTCTAGAAGTTTCTTTTACGGAATTTCAAAAATTTCAAGCCACTTTCCTAATTAATCTAAAAACAAATCTCAAAAGTGTTCATAAAACTGCATTTTCGTCCTCTGCACAGCTTATATCCTCCCTCATAATCATGGCAAGCCAAACTAAATGTAGTGCGTTCCTCATAAGCCTTCCCTTCTAACTCAATAGTAGTTTTTGTACCTGAGTTCTCTTTGTTTGTCAGTTTTCAGTAATAAAGTGCCCAGATTTCAACATCATAACCTAAATAAAAGCACCCAACAAGTACTGTCCACCTCTGGGCTGTGATTCCTTTAAGGATGCATCCCAAGAATACACTGGATTTTGAGACAACAGTATATTGCCACACTAGTTCATTATTATCATACTGTATGACACTAGAGTCTGGTGTCCTTACTTAAGGTGAGTGTTTGATTTGGATAGAAACTGTTCAAATATAGAGTAGAAAACAATTTATCTCCTGAAGAATTCATGATCCAGTCCCTGAAAAAATTCAACCAGCACACAAGCACACAAAAGGGAGAGTGAGTGAGTGAGGTCGGGTTAAAAATGACAGGAACAAGCTGATACAAACAGTGGTTACATGCTCAGCTTTCTAGGTTTCTCTCTCCTAAGAAACAGCTGTGAATTGGATTGTTTTTCTCCAGCTACTTTCACTGAGATCTCATTTCATTTTTTTTTTCCTGTCTGTATATTGATTTCTCTAGGTTTATTTTGCTGATGCTGACCCCAGTAATACCTCCCAAATTAGTGTTTGCTGCCAAATTCATTGGCATGCTCTTTACTAGCCCTTAGGATGTTAAAGAAGAAATTAAATAAAACCCTACTTCACTACAGCTGGAAAAGAAGACTCTTGAAGGAGAAAAGAAGAAGGAAAAAAGAGAGGCAATAGCCAAAAGCAGGGTAAAGGATTTAAGATGGAGATGGAGGGAGACAAATGAAAGAGAAAATGAGAGAGGGTAAAGTGGGGGTGGAAGATATATTTAAAAAGGAAAGAGAAACAACCAACTAAAAAAGGGAACAATAGTCTCTCAGTCAGTTGACCTCTGAGTAGCTACTTAATTTCAAATACGAGAAGTCACAGACCTAAGCCCATGCCTAAAATTAAGTTTGTGTTTTATTCAGGCCAACATAAAGTGCAGTTTTCTACACAAGGGTTTAAAGCACCAGAGGGAGTAAATCCCTTAGAAACTTGGTGAGGTTATGGCACTTACTTTCCACAGGTTTCTTGAAAAATCTGGGCTTTTCCTGATGTTTCCTGTGTAAACTATACAATATTACAGTTTAAAAAAAATGTTGCTAGTGAGACATGCAGAAAACATTTGAAATGGTGTACAGGTGTGCTTTCTCTGCTTGAAAGAGGTGTGCTAACTCAGCAGTTACATGGAGATCTTTGATTTTTGAAGATTTATTTCATCACTTTGCCTTTGAGAAACTAGCCTACACCCAACCAGAGGGATAGTCCAGCACTTCTGTCAGGATCGTGGAATTGACCCTTCTCACAGGGATTCATTGGAAGCAGATAATGGGCAAAGAAGATAATCTAGCTCAAGATGCACTTGTTTCTTAGGAAACATTCCAGGGTATATGACATAGTCAGAGCCATATCTCTCCATCATATTTCACAAAAAACGTAGCACAGAAAAAAATGAAAAGTTAAAGTTAATTCTATGTAACCATTAACTGTTCATTTAACTATAATGTTATTACTGAGCACATAGTCGTGACAGTGATCATTATGGAAGAGTTGGGGACAACAAAATGAATACTAGAGAAGAATCCTTCACTGCACTTTACTTGATATTTCTTATGAAGAGAAGCTTTCAAGATAAAACATGGACCCAAACTATTCTTACCTGCAGCAAATCATGGGGAGTCCTAACAGGGAGGGAGGCCCTGCAAAGATCACACGTATAGATCTATAGAGCTGTATTTCTAACAATCAGAGAATCAGGAAGCAGGAGATCAGGTCTTGTTTCATCTGCCACTTTCTTCCATACAAAGGCACTCATCAGTTATCTGCTTCTTGGATTTGTTTGTAGCTTCGAACTGTAGCACTTCAGTAGCTATCAAATGCACTATCCATCTATCAGGAAGAGTGAAGATAATGGATAGACTGTCAAAATGAATGCAACTTGACTAAAATCAAGGACAACTCAACAGCAACACTAATAAATCAATTCCCTTGTCAGAGGGTTGAGAGAAAAGTGATGGTAAAGGGGCTACTATACCACTCTAAGCAACTTAGGAACAGTTCAGATCCTAACATAGATGCTCCGGACACAGTACAGAAGCTATGATCTAGAGCCTCAGATACCTCTTCGGACACCTGTCTCATCCTCTGAAAGGGAGAACCTCTCTTCATGGGGTCAGGAGTCTAGGGCAAGTAGCTGTCTAAGCTACTATCTACATTTATTTAGACATCCATGATACTGACTTAAATGACCCCCACCCCATTCCTGGTATCACAGGAGTCTTTTGTCTCTCCCCACTCCCATCTCAGCAGTGTGTGGGAATGTGTCTGGGCAGTATCTCACTGGCTGCTACAACTGTGACACTGCCAAGGCTCAGGCAGAGCATGGTGTGCTTTATCCTACTCTGATTTCCAACCATTTCTCCTTTTCCTCTCAGTACGTTCTGTGGGCAGAAGAGTGAAGTGATCCACCCGGTCTCATTGACAAGTAAACACCCCTTTGTGTTATACAGGTGTTCAGCCATTTATTAGCATGGTTTTCACTGCCCTAATTGGCTGGTTCCTATCGTTCACGATTGAGGTCTTTTGGTACTACTCCCTACTCAGAGCCTGAACAGAATAAATCACTATTCAGTTATTTAGTACTGGGCTAAGTGTTAAAAGAAAGCAATTCTCTTCCTCAGGCCGACGCTTGGTAACTTAATTACTTTCAGTTCACCAGACGTATTGTAGAGAATAAAATCTATCTCACAGTGGGATTTTTAATGCAGCTACATTCACCACCATTCCCAGGCACAGAAGAGAGGACTAAACAGGCAAGCACTTTCTCTATGCACTTAACATACTCTCTTTACGCTGCCTATATGGCTTTATACACTACCATAGTATCCAAACATCCCTTTCATGGTTGCAGTCACACTGAGGAATATACTCCTCTGATTCATTCCAGTGCTCCAGATTGTAGAGTCCAGCAGAGTGTACCAAAAGGGAGAATGAACTGAGATCTTGGACTTTGGCTCCATACCAAAGGCCAGAAGAGGCATTCTTGTTATGAGAACGGGACTGGATTTTTATAAGGACACATGGCCTTCCTGTTAGCATATATTCTGGAATGAAACTAATCCCCTGAAACGTCTAGTTCTGGAAAGTTAAAATTGAGCATCTCCTGTACGTTACAAATCATCCTTCAGTTCTACTGGCCTTACTGGAAGTTAAGGGCATTGTACAATGGACCCATGAGGTAACAGGTTTCCTGCTTTGGACTGTTCTGCACTTCCAGTGGACACCAGAATCACTGTTGTGTTGTGTCTTTGTTTGTTGCTCGTGCCTGCGATTATCCAAGTTGTGGCTCTTAGAGGGCAAAATGAAAGCTTTGGCAGTCTTTCATTTTAGCTAAATAAAAGCAATCTTTGAGGAGCCAGAAAAGGCACAAGCTATAACTCTTCAAGTAAACTAAATTGTGCCTGCACCTATTCTCTGGTTGTGGGACCAGCGGGCACGATATGACCGTGTCCATGACACTGATGTCTCATATCATGCTGGGAATGCTCCCTCACCCAGGCTGACTCCTGGGCGGTGCTGGGGAACTGTAGGACAGCCCTGGTTGCTCCAGCCACAATGACCCCAGCAGCCATTCCAGGGATGTAGCAGTACTGACAGCTGAGTTCTAGCATCCAAGAACATTCCCTGGCCTTGTTTAATTTACTAGGATAGATGTAATCATTGGGATTGCTAAACTTAAGTGCCATTGATCTCATTTTTAGTTTATGTACTAATGCAAATTAATTCCCTTGGTTCTTACCAGTATTTATTAAATCTGGTAAATAATATTCTCCTTCCCCCCAAAAACAACTAACCAACCAACACATTGTCCAGCCCTAAACATATGTACATATGTTAAAATATATGAAAAATACCTTTTTTAATTCCCTTTATTACAAATGAGTCTGTACCTAAAGCTCATATGCACGTATTCCCAACCTTTGATGAAGTCTGGGTCTGAGTGTGAACTTTGATGAAGTCTGGACCTAATCTTTGAAGCTGATTCTTGATCTGCTTGATAGATGAAACCAAGCCCCAAAACTAGTTAATCTTCTGCACACTGTTAAGACTCACTTTTAAGGCCAAGTGCTGCAGCAAACATCTTTCTTAATTTGGGAATGCTTCACACAGGAAAATTTAACCAAATTTAAACCCACGTCAGTCAACAAGTTCCTAGTGAAACTACTTGTAAAGTCAAGTGTCATGTGGAAGTAAAGAGCGGTGATGGATGGGATACTAGGAAATGGTGGTGGGTGGCAGAGAATGGGAAAAGTGGAACGGAAAGGCCGGGAACCCTGGCAGTTCACCCTCTCGATTGTGCTCCAGCATCTGAATCCACTGCACTATTAGGGAAAGGATAAGTCCCTGGCTGTCCACTTCCATTCCTTGTCATGTAATTTTGCAAGTGGAGGACACTGAAGAGACCGGAGGATACAGATTCAGACTTGGAGAATCTAACATCTCTGCAGGACTGTAAGCTGCTCGCTGTGAAACATGCCTGCAGCACCAGAGAGTATTAGAGAGGAAAGAGGAACTCTTTCAGTGCTAATAGCTTCTAAAATGCTAATGGCTTAATAGGGCTGGAAGAGAAGAGTGAGCTGGAAATTTTCTCAAGCTGGGCTATGTATTTCCTGATAGGAAATTGAGGAGAGAGAGAAGAGGAGATAACAATCACTTTTTTCTTTGATGTTTTTTGTCATCAATGTGGAATCAGAATGTCTGAGGAGTCTCTCATCGCACTGACAATAACTTCACCTTCCACATATTTCAGTGAGTGGTGATAGCCCCCTTTCCAATATACCAATGTGCATGCAATGGGCAGAACAATGCCTCAGAATCACTGGGTTCCCTTTAATTCATTTCAGTATGTCATTGTTGCAATAGTAATTACAATCACCTGAAGAACCTCTAAGATCTACAAAAAGTATGTCTCTATTAAATTTATTTCTCTGATGAAAAAACTTCCTAACACATAATTAAGAAGGCTCAGTTATAAGCTTACTTGCTTCCATAAAGTCAAGTTCAGCAAAATTTAAACCTAAGAGAAACCAGAAAATACAGAGCATAACAAGGCGATATTAACTCCAACCTCTACACAAATGTCTCAATATATCTGTCATGCAAACAATTCACCTCTGTGGTGGGTGTCTTTCAGGCAACATAGTACATAACTACTATAGTACAGACATACCTTTTCTTTGGAAGTGTGCTGTATTTAACAGTGGCACTTCCTTTACGTGCATACACTACTCCAATTTCCTTGAAACTATTCCGTAATAATTAAATTTTACCTATGCTGCTCTGCACCAGAGAACAATATTTTGTTACATATGTCATTAAGCCCACAGAATATTTTCCCTACCTGACTGTCCAAGTGCCAGTCGCACTTGGGTACTGACCCAATGTATAGAAGTCAGTAGTGAGAAGAGACATCCTGGATATCACAGGGTACTGTGCTGAGAGAGCATCTTTGCAACGTGTTGGTCCATGGTTCAGGACGAGAGAGAAAAGCCAGACTACTGAGTCCCAAGGTTTCTGGTAAGAAATAGATGTATGAGGGGATGGTAGGGTGGTTTTTTTTTGACACAGGGAGT